CATTCGAAAAAAAAAATCCCCTTGGTGAAGAAGACGTGGTGGTACATCCATAATCCTAACAAGGCAGAAGTGGAGACCGGAAGATCAGGAGTTCAACCAAGGTCAGGCCAGGATGGACCAACCTTTACCAAAAACAAAAACAAAGGCAGGTGTGGTGTAACTCCTGCATTCTGGGGGCTGAGGCAGGAAGATGCTAAGTTTGAAGCTAGCACAGCTACACATAGGGAGATCTTGTCTCAAAAAAATTAATAAAAATGTAAAAATCATTTTTAAAGTATCTTTTGTTGTTTTGGTTTTGTTTTTTTCCAGACAGGGTTTCTCTGTAGCCTTGGCTGTTTTGGAACTAGCTCTCTAGACCAGGCTAGCCTTGAACTCTGAGATCACCTGCCTCTGCCCCCAGAGTGCTAGTATTAAAAGTGTATGCCACCACGATCCCAAAAATGTGAGTTCCAGGACAGCCAGGACTGTTACATAGAGAGATTTTACTGTCTTCCTTATGTACCTAAAAAAAATTGAAAAAATAAAAAAGGAACCGATTGGCTACTACCTGAGGAGGAGCGCTGTCCAGATTAGTCAGGGTTCTCTAAGCTGGGGCAGACCCTGCCTGCTGGGCGCTTCACTTCGGAGGTGGCAGCTGGCCCAGGGCTGCCACCTGCCAGCTGCTCACTGCTGCCAGCTGCCCCAGTGACCCAGAAAATTGGAAATCTGGGCCTTCTAGCTAAGCATCTCCCAATCTGGAAACGTTGCCAAAGAAACCTAGAAACGAAGCTGAAGCCAAACCAATCCTGTCTGGGAGCAGGCGCGGCCGGCTCGCCCACTGGCGAGTGACCCCGCGCGTGTCCTGGCAGTTCTGGGGTAAAGCGGGGAAGTCCTGCTGAGGCCCGCAGGGCTGCCAGCTGTTTCCTCTAGCAGGCGGAAGCCTCCCTCCCCTGCCTCAGCTGTGCATGCCTGCAGCAGCCTCTCCCAGCTCTGCTTCTCAGATGCACTCCACCCTTTGGTGGAGGCCAAGGGCTTGCGCCCACTCGTGCAGCGCGCGCTCCCTGGCGGCCAAAGCGATGCACTGCGGCCCCTGCCCCGCCAGAACAAGGGCTGAGGTTCATCCGTAAAACAGAGAAGCACACTCTTATGAGGACACATGGATTAGTCATAGTCCTCAATTTAGAACACAGGATAACCACTGGTCCACGCCTGGCTTCTTTCACTCTTCTATCCCTCTCCCTCCACACACAGACAACACACACACACACACACAAATTTATTAGAGTGGCTTACAGGGGACACAGGCTTGCCCAGATACTTGGGTTTTAGTTGATTGCAGATGTGGCTGAGTTGACAACCAAGATTAGCCACCACATGGATGCCTTCCCCTCCCATCTTTCCCTTCCCACCATCGCTTCCGGAAACACCAATCACCACATAGTTTCGTTTCTTACATTGGTTCCACTCACTGTGTTGTGAGTTCATACGTCAGCAGGGGACATCCCCGTGCTGCCTTGGTGGCTTCATTTGCCTGTCACTCTACTGGTCTCAAACTACACCTTCTCTCCCACATCCTTAATTTATTTGTAATTAAAGATAGGCTCTCAGTAGAGATAATGGCACAGGTCTTTAATCCCAACACCTGGGAGACAGAGGAAGGTGGATCTCTGTGAGTTCAATATCAGTCTGGTCTACAAAGTGAGTTCCAGGACAGCCAGGGCTGGAAAGGAAAGAAAGAAAGAAAGAAAGAAAGAAAGAAAGAAAGAAAGAAAGAAGAAAGAAAGAGAAAGAGAGAAAGAAAGAGAAAGAAAGAAAGAAAGAAAGAAAGAGAGAGAGAAAGAAAGAGAAAGAAAGAAAGAGAGAGAGAGAAAGAGAAAGAAAGAAAGAAAGAAAGAAAGAAAGAAAGAAAGAAAGAAAGGGAGAGAGAAAGAGAGAGAGAAAGAAAGAAAGAAAAAAGGAAGGAAGGAAAGGGAAGGAAGGAAAGGAAGGAAGGAAAGAAGGGAAAGAGAGAGAGAGAGAGAGAGAGAGAGAGAGAGAGAGAGAGATAGGGTTTCACTCTGTACCTCTGTATCCCAGGCTGCCCTGGAACATAGGATGCTGATCTTGAACTCAAAGTGATCCTCCTGTCTCAGCCTCTCAATCTGGGATTATAAGTGTACACTACCATGTTGGCTTCTCCTATCTCTTTGTTATTTTTAAAACATTTATTGTTTTTATTTTATGTGTGTTTTGCTTGCATCATGTATGCAAACACGTATGCGTGGTACCTGCAGAGGCCAGATTAGGGTGTCAAATCCCCTGGAACTGGAGTGACAGACAGTTGTGAGCCACCATGTGGGTGGTAGGATACATGTCTGTAATTCCAACACTGGGAGGTGAAAGCAGAAGGATCAGAAGTTCATGTTAATTCTGATGCATAGTGAGCTTACTTTAGGCTAGCTTGGGATATACAAGATCCTGCTGAGGGGGGGGAGGGAGAGGGGAGGGGGGGAAGGGGAGAGGGAGAGGGAGAGGGAGAGGGAGGAGAAGAAGTAGGAGGAGGAAGAGGAAGAGGAGGAAGAAGAGGAAGAAGAGGAGGAAGAGGAGGAGGAGGAGGAGGAGGAGAAAAGAAAGAAGGGAAGGAGGTAAAGAAAAAAGAAAAAGAAACAAAAAAGTAGTCAACCACAAAAATGTCGAGGACTATATATACACACAAAAATTATTTGAAGACTTTATTTTATACCTGAGTGCTCTATCTGCATGTACACCTGCATGCCAGAAGAGGGCATCAGATCCCATTACAGATCATTGTGACCCACCATGTGGTTGCTGGGAATTGAACTCAGGACTTCTGGATGAGCAGAAAGCGTTCTTAAACACTGAGCCATCTCGTCAACCCCACACAAAAATCTTTAATGGGCTGGTGACTGTGCCCAACAGAGGCATTTGCTGAGTTGGTTCCTGGTTTTCCCACGAGGTGGACAGAGAGCTCTGTCTCCTGAAAGCCTGACCTCTAATAGGCACTGTAACATGCACATACACAGACATACATGAATATTCAAAATGAGTTGGGGGTAATGAGAATCTTTACTGCCTTTTATAGCTGCCTTTATTAAAAAGTTTCTGTGGTACAATTTACTTATAGAACTATAATTTAGCCTAAAAAAAAATTATAGACATCTCAGGGCAGCCAGGACTACAACTATATGTTCACACACGTTCGAGTGTGCAGTACACGTGTGTGAACATGCCTATGTACATGGGTGTGTAGATCAGAAGAAACCAGTGTTTCTTGGGAGTCACCCACCTTTTCTTCGAGCTGAGGTCTCATCGGCCTCAAGCTCACCAAGCAGGCTACACTGGCTGATCAGAGAACCCCAGGATCCACCTATCTTTGCGTTCCCATGGCCACATGTGCAACCACACCCAGCTCTAGGTAGGTTCTGGGGTTTAAACGTAAGTCTTTGGAAGCATTCACTGGACCATCTCCCAGACCATAATAAGTGCTTTAAAAACTGGGGGTTGGTTGGGCTTTTTTTGTGGGGGCAGTTCAAGACAGTTTCTCTGTGTAGCCCTGGCTGAGCTGGAACTTGCTATCTAAACCAGACTTCCTCTACCACCCAAGTGCTGGGATCGATGGTGTGCGCCACCACTGCCTGGTGTAGGGGGCTGGTTTTTACCTGGGCATCCCAATTTTATCTGTCCTCGATCTCACATGATGATTCCTTTCCTCTGTTAGCAAAACCCACTTTGTCAGGTAGAGGACAACTTGAAATCCAGGTATTTTCACACTGTTGTGGGGGTGGGGGGTCTGTAGTATGTTCATCTAGTCACAGTGCATTAATCAGTCAGTGCAACCTTGAGCTGACCTGTAAAAGGAGTCAAATCCACTAAAGGCTCACAGGAAAGGACCATCTAGAGATTTGGGAGAACCAACAACCCCTTCTCACCTCTGGGCAGTCCTGTGAAAGTCTCAACTCTGCAGACAGAAGTCCCAGCAGAAACCAGGAGGGCAGAAGGGACCCCACCCCCACCCCCACCCCAGTTTCACAAGTGCATGGATTAGGCCACAGGCTGCCCAGCCAGGTGCCCTTTCCAGACCTACTGTGAATTCCTTACTGTTTGGGAGGCTGCATTAGGTTTTCTGCTCTTTGCAGCTGGCTGCATATTGATACAATGTTCTTTATCAACAAAAAACAAACAAACAAATAAAAACCCTGAAGAATGTACAAATCTCAGTGAATTCCTGATGACTATAAAGATCCTGTTATTCACTAGGGACTGAAGGCAGGAATTTTACAAACTCCACAAATAGTGCTGGCTTCAGCAGAACGTCCTGGCTTTGCTTCCCACTGTCCAGCCATCGAGCTGTCCCAAACAGCTGTCTCTATCTGTCCACAGACCAAGAACAGCATCTAGCGTGTGAGGCAGAGTTCCAAACTTGATTCTTTCAATTATTTAGGTGGGGGTGATGCGCAGCTATGATCCCAGAATTTGGGAAGCAAAGACAGAAGGACTAGGAGTTCAATGTCATCCTCATCTACAGAGTGAGTTTGAGGCCACCCTGGGCTACGTGAGACCCTGTCTCTCAACAGAAGGGAAAGATGAGGGGAGGGGCAAAAGGAAAAGAGGGGGAAGGAGATTTAAAGCTCTCCAGTGTGAAATATTCTTATACAACTCATGCCATGTCATTCCCTAAAAGTATTTTTGTTTTTATTTGTTTATTTGGCTGACCTAGACCTCATTATGTAGCCTAGGTTGGCCTTAAACTTACAGAGATCTGCCGCCACCACAGCTGGCTCTAAGAATATGTTCACTACTATGTAAACCAGGTTGGCTTTAAGCTAATGACCTTCCTGCTTCAGCTCTAAGTGATGGCATCAGAGACTCATGTGCTGTCACAGCCAACAAACATGATGTTTAAATACGTGTTCCACCTCTCAGAAGACAGCCCATGTATAATACATGTATAGCCACAAGGGCCAGCTAACCACCTCAAATGAGGGGCTTATCCACGTAATGAACAACTGTGAAGGCATAAACGCTGGAATTAAGAGGATTTATTTTAAAAGATTATAAAAGTTGATATTAAGAATGATAAAAAAAGACCCACAGGCTTTAAATCAACAAATACAAAAGTGATCAGATATAAGCAATGTAAAAATACATTTCCCAGTCCCCACATAAAGCATAATTTAAGTATAGTAATTATAAAAGTCTTGTGCAGTAAGTGTATTTCCCTTCTATGTCTTAAAAACCATTCTAAACAATTTGTATAAATTACAGCAACTCAAGTCTGCCACAGCTACTAAAAAAGACATTGTCCTTTCTGTGCTGACGGTATCTGGTCCCAGTTCCTCTGGAGGGTGCTTGGTGCTAGTCCTTAATACCATCTCCCTCCACAGAATGCAGACACCAACCAGTCACAGGTTGCCCCAAAGAGAAAGTTCTAAGAGTGGCCACAGACACAAGTGACCAAATGCTCTTCCTAAAAGGAAAGCCTGATGCAGCCGAGGCGGAGCCCTCTGCTGTGGGACAACTCGATGCTGAGCTGCTGCACCTGTGAACAGGCCAGAGTGTGTCTGTCAGCCATGAACAAGCCAGCCACAGGCAGAGAGGTGCCTACTACTGAGATGCAATGTCCCAAGAGCCTGCAAGTTAGAAACTAGCTCTCCAGGATGGCACTATTGAAGTTGGAAGCCTTTAGAGGCGGGGCCTAGTGAGGTCTTAGGTCAGTGAGGGCATGCTCTTAAGAGACTTCAGGACCTCAAGTCACCGCCCTTCTTTCCTTGCTTCCAGCTCTACCACAAACTCTCCTGATGTGCTGCTGTCTAAAACAACAGGTCTGACCAAAGGCCAATACCTCCAAAACTGCAAGCCAAGACTAAACTCTTTCCCCAACCCTTCCTCGTTTTAAGTTAATTGTCTCAGGTATTTTGTTATAGTAACAGTCAGCAGACTAGTAGTTGGTTAACACTAAAGTAGCCCTGATTTGCTGTTAATTCTCAATAGGTCTAAATGACTACAGCACAGCTTGATATAATACTCTAAAATTGTCTACAATAAACTGGTTACTTTTGAATTTTTCTATTCTTGTTTTCAAGAGCCTACTGTCCCCTCTCTGTGATGGCACACCCAGTAAGGCAGCATCCATGATTAGTTTCATGATCTCCAAAGCAGCTGTGGTGACATCACCAGCATGTAAACCTTAAGGCCGACAGATTAGGCAGTGAGGAAGGAACAGAAGCTGTGTGCCCAGATTCATCCACTTCCAAGAACTGCAACAGGCTGACTCATGAAACTGAAACCATCTTCCACACACAATGGCAGACAAGACACTGAAAAGGAGGGGGACTTTCCAGTGACTCCCTAGAAACATAATTGCACCGCTTTAGAGAGAAACCCCGGCCTGGGAAACCTTCGCCAGTGCGCCAAAGGCCTTGATATACCTGAGTCTTGGTCAAACTCTAGGAAGAAGGGAGGAAGGGTCCCCTTGGTCAGAAGGGTGCCCAGTGGCTCTGAGATAGTCTTCCAGGAACAAGCCATCCTTCCAAAGTCTCAGGAAGTCTGCAGCTTCCCTACACCACCAGCAGTGCTCACTAGCAGGGCTTCTAGGAGTCAATTCCTCAGGACACCTCCCCTGGAGAGAAACCCAAGCAGAGGCCCGTGGGAACACAAACCTGACACTCCTGCCTCAGACTCTTGGTGATGAGAAGGGACACAACTCTAGATGGCCTGGGGATGGCTGACAATGGAAGAGAATGGAGAGTAAGGCCTCTGAAGAGAGGCATGCCGAGTTGTGTTCGCTGGAGCAGAAACAACCATCTGCCCGGAGGGAGACCCACAGTCTCCAGTCTGACATCATCAACTCTGTTTGTCTGCATGCGTGAACACAGCACCAACCCTTCACATCTCTGAGTGGCCAAGGCCTATCTGTGCGATTACACCCGCTGTGCGGGACAGTCTCTTCTCTCTTTGGTCTTTAGATAGACTATCAGTTTCCTTACTTCCCTGTGTTCCATAACAAACCTCGTTTTCTTCTAAACTTAATCTCAACAACCAAAGTGCAATGTAAAAGCCACCACAAGGCTGATGATACTGCTGCTTTCATACACATAAACAGCGCCAGCCCACAGGTTTTCTGTTAAGCAATGCATGGCTCAGAAGGAATTAAGAATAATTGCTTTAAAAGGTTAGCACATAAGTGTAAGGCTGAGTAAGATACAGTAAAGGATCATAACATTAAGAAAAGAAGCCTACACCAGCATCTGAAACACAAATTAAATCTCCAGCAACAGAACAGAAATTAACCAGTTCCTGAAAGGACAGAGAAGGCAAGGTCTGGAAGCTAAGACTGGTGAGGGGCATCCTGTAGCACAATGATAGACATGCAATTCAAACAGACAGCAGTCTTCAGCTCTGAAAACAAAACAAACAAACAAACAAACAAACAACAAAACCTCCTCCACTTGAGACAGGTTCCAACAGTTATTAAAAGCCCCCTGAGCTTACTGCTGGGGCTGCCACCCAGCCCAGTGCTGCGAAGCTGTTCTCCTGCCCCTTCCCTTCTCTCCAAAATGTGCACACATGACACAGGTCACACGGAGGGAACCTCTCTTTAGGTCCACAGCCCCCGCTCCACGTCTTTAAGCATTCAGTGGTTCGGTGAGGGCTTCGGCCCTGGCGTTGTTCTCGGGCTTTCTCAGTGGGCTCTCCCGCAGTTTCTCACACAGCATGACAACAAAGTCCAGGAGGAACATTGAACTTGCTATGAAGCCAAACACCTAAGGGAGAAACAGAGGAGTTCTATGAGGAAGTGTGAGATACAACATGTGTCCTAGACAGCCTGAGAGTTCACATCCAGGAGAGATGGCTGATCAATTCCACCTTGTAACTACTTAAAAACAACCTGCTTTAGTTATACTTCTGTGTATGTGCTTGTCTGTGGGAGCGAATGTCATGTGTGTGTGGGTTCTCTTGGAGGCCTAAAGAGACTTCAGGATCCCCTGGAAGTGGGATACAGCCACCTGACGTAGGAGCTGGGAACCGAACTCTGGTCCTCTGAGTTCCACTTGCTGAGCCATTCCTCCAGTCCCACGCTTACTATTCTTTACCAGAACTTAAAAGCTATCCAGAGAGGAAAGGAAGTGACAAAGGAAAGTTCCCAGAACAACAGCCACCTCTGTGTGTCCCACAGGTCATAGATGCCAGCTCTTCTGCTGTGCGGCACTAGGAACAGAAGCACAGAGCTGCAGACCCCACACCAGTGTCAGGTGCAGGAGATGGCGAGCAGGAGAGAGAGCTGGCCTCCCTGCCTCTCTAGTTCCATAGCTACTAGAAGTCCATGGCTCCATCTCTCCTGCCTGACCAATCTAAGCCACAGACTCCCTGTAGGATGGCCACATACCCCCTCCTCTGGAAACTTATAAAAGGAATTCCCTTCGTTCCCAACTGACTTCCGGTTAGGATTTGGAGACTAAGTCCCTGCTGGGCTTATTAAAGAACCTGTCTATATCAAATAAGCGCTCACACACCTGTCTCCCAGCTGAAACCGGAGCATGGCAGATAAGCTGACTCCAAACACACTTTCCATGTGGCAGAAGAGAGGGTCTCCAACCACCAAGAGGTCACCATCACTAGGAAGACCCTAATCCTAGCTGTTGTGGGCTGCCTCCACCTCAGACAGCACCTACCCTCCACTACAGAGACAACAGAGATTCCTATTAGCCTTGGGAATCATAGGGCTGACATGAAGGCTGGACTTCAGGCCACACCTACCTCTCTTCCTTTCTAATTGCTCTATTTTTTACTCCATTCCCAAAGAAAAAGAAAAGCAGCCAAGAGGGGCCCACAGGAGAGGTCTCTGTAAAGTTCAAGGGGACACGAGGGGGAGTTATTACAAGGGTTTTGAATGCCATGGAAAGCCAGCATGGTAACACCTCTGACAAGACTGCAGTCCCACAAGGCAAGCTGTAGGTGCCTCACTACAGGTTTAAAGGGGGACGTTCTATGTCATATGGGTGAACAACAGTCCATAGTATATGCTTAGAGTCAAGCTGTCTCTGACTCTTGTGTGGCAGGGGAGAAGAGGAGAGTGTGTTCTTCAAGGATATGGGAAAGCAGGGAGGGGCAGCTCCAAGAGAACAACCCTCTGGCCCAGACTGGCAGGTCAGTATCCATATGCCATCTATTGAAAAGACCGAACACTGGGGTTGGAGAGATGGCTCAGCAGTTAAGAGCACTGACTGCTCTTCCAGAGGTCCTGAGTTCAATTCCCAGCAACCACATAGTGGCTCACAACCATGAGATCTGATGCTCTCTTCTGGTGTGTCTGAAGACAGCAAAGTGTACTCAAAACCAAACACTGGTCCTGATCCCTTCTGATTGGGCAGAAACGCTCCTACACACATCCAAGGAGCAGATGCAATAATGGCTATCTTATCAAAGTAGTGCCCAGATTGGGCCTTCCTGCCTCCATACAAACTCTAGTGGCCCCGCCCACATATCTAAAGTCAGACAGGGAACCTGCAAAGCTCTCCACGGGACCTGAAAGTCACACATGCTGTACAGGTCTCCAGCATCATGTACAGACGCACATGTTCAGCACCCTAAAGCCTCTCAAACTCCCATGTGGAATGCTCCTTGCATTATGTAGCTCTCCCTTCCCCCACTCTCTCACAACCTCACATCTCCTAAGGCACACTGCTAACAACGGTCCACCGAAGCGTCCCTCTGATTCAACATCTGTCCCCATGCACTTGGGGAATGAAGTCTACTTAAAAATCCTCACTGCTAAGCCCTCTAGCCCCCATGCTCAGGGACTTCTTAGCCCTTCTTAACCCTTTCCAGGTTAAAGCAGGTTTATAGACCACAAAACAACACATCGTCTGTTAAACCAGAGACTCCAATAAACAAAAACAAAAACAAAACAACAACAACGAAACCCCCAGAGACTCCATCCTTGAGGAACAGCTCTCAAAGTCACCCCACAGCCCCCTGACCTCCTGGGGACCTCAAGCTGCTCTTAAAGTACCAACCAGCTGAGACGGTTCCTCCCACAGCCCTACCTGCCTCTGTAACACAGGAAAGAATTCCTGCAAACACCTTCTCCAGAGCCCTGGTGACAAACCACATTGACCACAACGGTGTCCTTGACATTATAGCTGAGTGCTGATTACAAGGGAACTTTATGTACTTTCCTGGATGAAGCTGTGTTCTCTCTGTCCTTCTAACTTTGGCCTACTCACAACATGCACCCACCCTTCCTTTACTCTCTGTGTTCGGCCTGTCAGTCCCCACTGAAGAGATGCTTCTCTTACTCCTGCCATGTCCACCTGAGGAGACTCTCTCTGGTTCCGACACTGCTATTCTGACAGGAGGCCTCAGACTTACAATCTGAGTCCTACCGTAAGGTCCATCTAGCACAGTACCTCTGCAGTGGTCCATGTTCCCCTCTGCTTTACCAGACAAGCCTTTCAAGGGGGCCCCAAGGTAGGACATCTAGATCCCTCACTGTACAAGTAAGACAGTCCTACTAGTTTCCCCCAACCCCCTGGACCAAATATCTGCCTCTTATCTCCAGCTAGCTAGAAGATAGCTGGTCATCAGACTGTCAGGGATAATCAAAGCCACCTGTGTCTTTTAATGGCTGCCTGAAGAGGAGAAATCCGTCCGGCCATTAAGAAGGCTCCTGTCCCTATCACCCTATTATCCACAGACATCAACGCATCCCTACTCTCAGAATGTCTCAAGGCTAGCGCCTGTCCATAACAGTAGCAGGACTGACACCAGGGCCACATCTCAATCCCCTACCCCACGCCCCAAGGTCATGTCCTGTAACAATGTATCTTTCTATACACAAAGGCTGGAAAGCTGGATCCTGGATCTGCTGCTTTACTGCAGCCCGACCAAACGGGCCTTCAGGTACAGTCTGACTTCTTATCTAAGCTCCTACAAGTCCCACAGTCCATCAGGGCCATATATTACATTAAAGGAACCCCCCCCCCAACTCGTTAGTGGAAGGCAATCCCTTGTTCCCTGTCTCTTCCGTGGATTCGAAGTCAAGTCTCCTGGTCCCTATAGTGGGGGCAGCATTACTCCCTGAAATGGCTCAGCCTCTGTCTATAACTATTTGTATGCAGGAGTCTGTGGGTATCAACATGAGACTCGGGTCAGGAGATAGACAATTAAATCCCACAAGACGCTATTAAATGCATGGTTAGTAGAGATGGGTTCACTGACACGCAGGTGTGGGAGACATGATGTGTAACTAGGTTAGGTGAAGACAGATGAAGCTCTTCAGATCAGAATAAACCTCCATTTTTAAGCACTGCTTGGCTAACTTAAATACACCCTCCAGTCACTTGTCAGCTGTGGTGACACAGGGACTTGACGCCACTACCTACTTCCTCTTCCTTAATCACTTCCTCATTGTGTTATTCTAACATATGACCCAAACATTCGGAGAATTCTGTCAAGAAACAAAAGACCATGCTTCAAATTTGGCTTCCTCACTAGCAAACCCCTTGAGGAAGTGAAGGCCAAAACAGGAAGAAAGCAGCACCAAGTCTCTCCCAACCTCAACCTGGCTCCTCCTTGACTTTGTGCTCTGTGTGTGTGTGTGTGTGTGTGTGTGTGTGTGTGTGTGTAGAGGGGGGAGGGAGATGAGGTAGTGGGGGGGAAGTGGGGGTTTCTCAGGTAGCCGGCCTCAAACTCAATCTTCCAAATGCTAGGAATGAAGGCGTGTGACACCTAGCCTGCACTTCCAAGACTGTGACCACCTCTTGAAGTCTCTGGCTTCTTCTTTCCTATGTTCCACCCTAAGGAACACAGGACTTTATCTCACCCACAGTACACTGAGCTCACCGGGACATCCCAGCACAGCCAGCCTCAAGTACGCACTCCCCCTGGGTGGAGTCTGTTCTGCGGCCTGACTGCATCCATCTATCTATCCAACCCTTACAAGTCAGACCGGTACAGCGCTCTCTCCAACACTTCAATGCTTTCTTTTTAAAGATTTTATTTCTTTTTCTTCCAGGAGCTGAGTGTTTTGTCTGCATGGATATCTATGTGGGTGTCTGGTGCTATAAGGAGCTGGATTCCCTGGAACTAATATTATGGATAACTTGAGCTGCCATGTGGGCACTGAACCTGGGTCTTCTGCAGGAGCAGCAAAGGCTCTAACTGCCGAGCCATCTTTCCATCTTTGAGCCTATAAACAATATAGTACTCCTCGATATTAAAATGTAGTTTTAGAGCGAAGGCGATAGCTCAGTCAGCGTCACTCTTAACTGGCAAACATGAGCACCCAAATTCAATCGCAACCCTACATTTTTACAAGAGGGCTAGCAGCTACTGGTGCAAACCTTTAATCCCAGTACTTGGGAGACAGAAGCAGACAAATCTCTGAGTTTGAGGCACTTCTGGTCTACAGACAGAGGACAGCCAGAGCTACAGAGAGAAAGAAACCTTGTCTTGAAAAACAAATGAACTAAACATAAAAAAGGAGGCCAGCCAGATGGCTTGGTGGTTAAAAGGTGCTTGCTGCTCTAAGCCTAATGACCTAAGTATGAACAACTCCCAAGTCTTCTTTAGACTGCCACATGGATGTTATGGTGTGCACGCACACTCACTCACTCACTCATTCACACACAAAATGAAAAAAAGTGTTTTCTAAAGCTAGATGTTATGATACACATTCGTAATCTCAGTCCTGAAGAGGCACAGAAAGACAGATCCCCAGGACTCACTGGCCAGCTAGTCTAGCTGACTTGGTAATATCCATGCTGGTGAGAGGCCTGTCTCAAAAAAGCCTGTCTCTGTAGGCGGGCTACAGAGAGGGCTCAGGGGTTAAGAGGACACACTGTGCTTGCCCAGGACCCAAGTTCAGTTCTCAACACCCATGTTATGAGGCTGACAACCTTCTGGACCCCCGGCTCCCAGGGGGTTGGACAACTCTGGCCTAAGGGTACCTGCACTCACGTGCATACAACTACACACACGTGCATACAACTACACACAGATGCGGAATTTATTTTAAATATTAAAAAACAAACAAATGCCAACGCTGTCCTCTAGCCTTCATAGAGAAACTCTGTCTCAAAAACCAAATAAAACAAAAACAAAGCAAAAAACAACACCTGACCCAAAGGATTCCAATAAAAGCTGGCTTTTCACTCAACTGCCCCTTTGTTTTCTCAAAGGAGCTCGACACATACTGCCTCAAGGTTTGGGACAGGCAAGTCCGTTTTTCTTTCTGGTAGGATGGGAGGGGGTCGATAGGGCAGTGAAGAAGAAAAAGGGAGAGAACTAGTCAGACTCCTCCACCAGAGATGAACTGTCACAGAACTAGCTTTAACAGTGACTGATGGAGCTGGGGGCATGCCTGTAATCCCAGCACTCGGGAGACAGAGGCAGGCGGATTTCTGAGTTCGAGAGTTCGAGGCTAGCCTGGTCTACAGAGTGAGTTCCAGGACAGCCAGGGCTACTCAGAGAAACCCTGTCTCGAAAAAACAAAATAAATAAATAAATAAAATAAAAAACAGAATGCTTGATTGTGCTGGGCTTGATTGTGGTGGCACACATCTTTAATCCCAGCACTCAGAGGGTGGAGGCAGGCAGATCTCTGAGTTTGAGGCCAGCCTGGTCTACATAGTGAGTTCCAGGACAGCCAGGGCTATGGAGAGACAAACTCTGTCTCAAAAAGAAAAAAAAAAGGATTGATTCCATGTATTTCACGTGGAGGTAAAACCCTGAAAATGGGCTCCCTTCCTCAAGAGCTATCCCTGCTGGCACAAACCCTCGCTCAGGTTTTGAGGATAGGAGGGGCCTGTTGAAGACCACTCAAGACTGCAGTACATGTCTGGAGTGCCCAGGGCGCTGAGGCAAGAGACTTCTGAGTTTGAGACCAGCTTACAATAAATATCAAGTTCAGGGCTAGCCTAGACTATAGAGCAAGACTCTATCCCAAAATCCAAGAAATAACCCTGGGGCTGGAGCTCAGGCGTAGAGTACTTGCCGAGAATTCATGAGGCCCTCAATTCAAGCCCCCATACTACAACAAAGGAAAAGAAGGAGTGGGGGGGGAGAAAAATAAGAAAAAGAAACAAACCAAAAACTACAATAAGTAGCCAAAGTTACAGTGACGTACAGACAGCCTCACTCAAACACTGTCACAGTTGCCTGGCTAACCCTGCAAGCCCTTTCTCCGCAATTTCTCTGTACTTAGAGCAGTACTAAAGGGCAGAGACATGTGGACAATGACAAAGGTGACAAAGGCCAAGCTGGCCACTTGCATTAGCGAACACTTATTTATATGCAGCAAAAAGAAAACTTTAACAAAACTAGGCCAAATTCCAGTCAGGTTCCTAGGTTCCTAAGACTAGTATTTGTTGGTCTTTCAGGTCTATCTTTACATTTAAAAGTAGAAGGAAAACTACTCTCGGGCTGGAGAGATGGCTCACTGGGTAAGTGTTTGGCACACAAGTCTGAAGACCTGAGCTCACATCCCGGAATCCACGTAAAAAGTCAGGCACAGTGTCAAAAGCATCTGTAACCCTGGAACACCTGCAGGAAATGGGAAGTAGAAACAGGAGATTCCAAGAAGCTCGTGGGCCAGGTAAAATGACTCTAAGCCCAGCACTGTCCTGGTGAGTGCCAGGGCCAGCCAGGGCTGCACAGGGACAGCCTATCTCAGCAAGGAGGGTGGAGCTGGAGGGTAGGTGCTCGTGGGCAGCTGGCCCGGCTACACAGCACTGAGACCACCTCAAATAAGGTAGGAAGGCAGGACCAACACAAAGAGCATCTCTCACCCACACAGGTGTGCACCCCTCACAAACACACGTGTCATCAATAAAAACAAGTAAGTAATAATTATTACTCTTACATATAATTTATTAAGATTTTTCTAAATTCTCTATTTCTAAGGAAACAAAAGTAAGGCTGGAAAAGCACAGTACTTACAATTGCAGCAACTTCAGCTGAGGTCCCAAAATGGGTAGAGACGAAAATGATAGATGCCAGCAGAAACACACAGCCTGTTCCCAAGGTGATGTAAAAATCCTACACACGGGGATCAAGAGCGAACAGGGTCAGAGCAGCAGACAAAGTTTAACATTCTTAATTTCAAAAGCCCTGAATGACTTACATAGTCTCGGTGCAACCCAAACTTAAAACATGCTATGGTACCTCTTCAATAAGCCTGCATTCAAGTAACACTATCTACTTTAGGCTGCATGTAATAGTATATTACAAATCTTTTCTTTTTAAGACAGGGTCTCAACATGTAGCCTGGCCTTGAACTCACTGAGACCAACCACCTGCCTCTGCCTCCAAGTGCTGGGATTACAGACATGCAACACCACATCCAGCCCATTTTTGCTTTTGTATTCATTTTGTTTGTTGGCTTGTTTGTTCATCTCTGTCTTTGTGCTTCCTGCTCCTGGGAAGTGAACCTATGACCTCAGGAATGCTTGGCAAACATGGCCCCTGAGATGACTGCTGTTTGGTGGGTTTGTGTTTATTTCTCACAGGTTCTTACATAGCCCAGACTAGCCAGGGACTTCTGAAATTCATGCCTCTATCTTCCAAGTACTGGGATTACCATGCCTACTCAGAACAAACATCTTGAGATAGAAAAAATTCACTACTGGGGCGAGAGAGAGAGAGAGAGAGAGAGAGAGGGAGGGAGGGAGGGAGGGAGGGAGGGAGGGAGGGAGGGAGGGATCCGTCTCAACAGTTAAGAGCACTTGCTGCTCTTCCAGAGGATCAGGGTTCAATTCCCAGCACCCACAGGGTAGTTCACAACTATCTGTAACTCCAGTTTAAGGGGATTTGACACCCTCTTCTAGCCACCAAGGGTACCAGGCATGCATGGAGTATATACAAAAACATGCTGACAAACATATATACAAAATAAAATTTTTTAGAAGATGCAATGTTCGATAAACATAGCTTGTAAAGTCAGACTACCACAGTTCAAATAGCAGCTGTGTAACTTCCTAATTATGCAACTTCTTGTTTGTTTCTCCTTGTTGGCATGGGGATGCAAGGGTCACTGCTGTGTGAAGGCCAGAGGACAGCTCTGTGGAGTAAATTCTCTGTAGCACCAGACTTTTGAAATTACAGGCATGTAAAACCACACCAATTCATATGGTCCAGGGCTTCAGTGCAAACCAAGCAAATGTTCTCCCAGCTGAACTCTAACTCAGTAGGTTTGGGGTGGATTTTGTTTGTTTGTTTACAGGTATATTGCAGAGGGATTTTAATCAAGCAACATTGTTACTCTGGCTAGAATACAGACACACCATTAGCACACACCTTTAATCCCAAACAATGAAGGGAAAGTTAGTTTGTAGAAGGAACCACTCATGTTTGAAAGTGATGTCTAATTGAGTGGCAAAGTGATGAATCAGAAAAGACTTGACAGAATAGGCTATGCTTAACTCTTATGAGAAGAGAGAAGAAAGAGAAACTACTTAAGAGGGAACCGCTGGGGGAGGTGGGGTGGGGCGTCAGTTTTACCGCAGAGAAAGAACAAGGTAGACATAGGTGAAGACAGAATGAGCCAGAGAATGAGAAAGAGCCAGAAAAACAGAACATATTGACAAAGTTAGTATGAAGCCAAGCAGAGCAATTCAGTCAGAAACCAGAAGAAGCCAGACTGAATCAGTCAGCTTGGTGAGGTGTCAGAGCCACAACAGCTGAGTTAAACCAGCCAACAGAGTTCTGAAAGAATTAGAAAGAGTGAGCTTATTCAGCAGAAAGTCCCAGAGGTTGAAAACATTCCAGGCCTAGATTAGATTGTGCAGAGGCTAAAAGCTTCCAGGACTAGACCTAGGTAAATGAAAGATACTTTTATCTGTATGTGTTTGTTTGTACATTTGCATGTGTGTGCATGTCTGATGCAGAAAAAATAAGTTGTCAGCATCTTTCCAGATGCTCTTTCACGGAACACAGAGCTCACTGACTTGGCTAGTCCTGTCTCTGTCTCCAGAACACTGGGATAACAGGTGAGTGGCCATTCCTGTCCTTAACTCTGATGTAAGTGGTAAGGACCTGCTGAGCCACAACCCCCAGCCTGGGGTACATTGTAACAATGACCCAACAAAGACATTCTTTATTCACCTAAACATAACTTTATATATATAATTAAGTGAAAGTGCCAGGCATGGTAGTACACATCTTTAATCCCAGCACACAAGAGGCAGAAGCAGATGAATTTCTGTGAGTTCCAGGCCAGCCTGGTCTACCAAATGAGTTCCAGGACAGCCAGGGGTACACAGAGAAACCCTGCCTCAAAACAAACAAACAAACAATCAATCAAAAACAGAAAAGGAAAACAAAACACAGACAGACCCACATGTTTAAAGACTCAGTAGTGTCATGCTATCTCTCTGGCTCCCATGCACAGTGCAATGTCTGGTAGAGAGCGGTCACTCAATTTCTAACTGTAAAGCCAATGAGTCACACTCTAAAATGTAAGAAATGAAACGTGATAAAATCAAACTTCTAAAAAAAAAAAGTTTAGGTGGCACAGTGGTCCACACCTATAATGTCAGCACTCAGGACAGAGGATCACAGGTTCAAGGACAATCTAGGCTGGTCTTAAGACAAACACAACAAAGTGTCTAACGTGAATTCGGTGAGGGCACCAATAACTACCGATCACTGGTGGCTTCCCTCTCCCGTGAATGCATTTCTTCTCTCCACTGTTGATGTGGAGCCCCAGTTACTAGGGGCAGAGAGCTAGAACACAGACAGTGCTCTTCCCAGGGCTGTGCGCTGAACACATTACTGCTCTCACAATAAAACTAGGAGAGCCCTACACAGGGGCCATGTTTTCCCCACTTACCGATGACTTGACTTTTCCGGTATCAACTCTGTCATGCACTGGTGTGCAGTACACAATCAGCAGGAGGAGGCTCAGGAGAAAGGCACTACAGCTCACAAATTCAAAGAAGTACAGGCCTCCGCACAAGCCACACTCGGACACAACCTCTTCACAGATGAAGGCCAGGAGAGACAGCAGCTACGGATGGAAACCATTTGACCTCAGTGAGTGAGATGACCCACGACCTCCAAAACCTACAGGCAGGCTGTGCTTATAAGCCCAGACACTTGGGGGGCTGAAGCAAGAGGATCAAGAGTTCCCAGCCAGTCTTTGCCAACGCTGCAGGAATCCCCCTTCTAAATCAAAATTAAACCCACTATTTGTTTGCTAAAATATTTATAAAGTAAAGACCGGGGCAAACAAGATTAGTGAAAAAACTTGGTAAATAGAACTTAGAGTCTGCTTGCTTGAAAGGATACACCCAGTTAACTACTGTGTGTCAAAGGCTGAGACTCAGAAATGAGAGTGTTCTAACAGCCCACGGGAAGAAAGGACTTCCAGGAGGAAAGAAAGCTGAATGCCACTATGCATAGCTACTTTTTTTTAGCTGCTGTAATGGCGTCAGAGAGGTATAGTTGGAGGCACATGGTGGAATTAGTCTAGAGGTCCCGGGAAATGTGGCTGCACACAGACTCTGGAGGGCAGCCAAGTAAGAGGTCAAGAGCACCTTGCAAAGGGGAGATGCCAGCAATGAGAAACAGCAGCCCGAGGGGTATGAGAGAGCAAGCGTGCCCATCAGAAGAAGCCAGCAAGCATGCTACCGCTACTCAGGTCAAAAACACTGGGGCACCTGCATTAGACCGCACTATGAAATAGCTGCCAGTGATATCGGTGACACTGCAAGAAAATTCTAGTCTGGCAGAGAGTTAGATAACTCTGTACTTGAGGAAGGGGCGTGTGGTGAGAAGGCAGTAGACCAGAAAAGCAGCATCAGGTGTGAGCAACCAGTCAAGGGTGCAGTGGATGAGGTCATGGGAAGGGAAGTTTGAGATGAGAGCATTCACCACATTTTACCATCCTAGCAGAAACCCTCCGCTGGGAGGACCAGAGACAGGCAGGGAGCACCTCTGCACAGGGAGGAGTTGGTTAACTCTTTAGGAAGTGGGAAACGAGTGTTCATGAGAGCAGCTTATGAAGGCATGGGGAATCTCCTGAGTGCCTGGACCGTCAAAAGGACTGATTGTCCAAAGTCAAAGGCCAAAGGGAAATTCCACCTCACCCCAGTGAGGACAGGGGAGAAAGCCAGGCACAGAGACGCATACAACTGCTACAAAAGAAAAAAAAATCAACACAGCAGACTAGAGTGGGCTGTACACCGAGAAACCCAACACCTAGGACGCTGAGGGGGTAGGATCCACTGGTGGCCCAGGCCAGCCTGGGCTACAAAACACAACACTAGGAACTAGGAATGTAACTCAGTGGTAGGATACATGCCTGGCATTCGGTAGCCTCTGATTCAATTCCCAGCCCTGGAAAACAAACAAGAAACAGAGTAGCTTGGAAAAGAAAAGAAAAATGAAAATCAAGGATTGTATCTCATTGTGCACAGCACATTCACCCACACTTTGATTACAAATGTCAACAAGTACTGGGAAAACCAGGGGCTTCTGCAAGAGCTAAGCACTGTCGGGTACTCCAGAGAAATGAAGACCCACTTGGGAAAAAGCCAGTGCAGGAACTTCAAGGTGACTTTATTCATACAGCCCCAAACCAGAAACAGAGCAGATGCCCTTCAACAGCCAAAGGAAGCTCAAGTACAGAGAGTCCAGCCCTGCTCCATCTCCAGATAATTGTACAAAGGAAAAAAAAAAACCCAGTCTCTGCAGCTGAGGCGTCCAGACACATCCACACATACCATGCATACAAACATACATAATAAATCTAAGTTAAAACTTAAATCACAGACTGGTTCACGTAAGCAATAAAACTCGAATAAATTTCACCAGCAAGTATTTAAAAAAAAATAACAAAATGAAATAGAAACATAACACAATAAACCAAAAGTCTAGTTGCATAAAATTCACTATTTCTTACAAAACTGTTTCAACTTATTTACTGCTCCATTCTGGAAAGGTATGAGACAATGAGACCAGTCTTTAGGCGTTGGACAAGCCTTTGACAAGACGCAGGTCACATGTGACAGGTACGGCAGCACTGGTCCAATACTAGACGCATTTTACCGGAATCTCCCATTTGCAGGTTCCCTTGGTATTTAGCTTGTTAAGAGCAAACAGCCTGGGAGATCGAAGGGTAGAAAGAAGCTAGAGGTGACCCAGCCCCACCCCCACCTCTCCCAAGTCTACTGCTGCACAACAGGCTTCTCTTCTCTTTGCAATCTTAGAAAACCTGCTAAGATTCATGGTCCCAAAATAACAAATCACATAGAAACACTCTGAATACATTCCCCATGGTCTGAAGGCTCCTTGTTAACACATTGTGCCTCCTCTTCTGATTCTGGTGTCTCCACACCCTTGTTTTCTTATCAGAGCTCTGCAATTCTATTAGACTTTAAATCAGCTAAAGAACGGTGTGCGTATGAGGCTTGCCTCCATCCCTCAGCCTGGACAAATACTTTATAGACCTCATCTATAACTTCCTTGGGACTGTTTTGAATAACTCTGTAGTATATTTTTATTGTTAATAAGTAAGACAGTATTAAAACAGAAAAAAGCAGGAACAAAAAGACAACCATAAAAATGAAAAAGTGGGCTAGCAGTGATGTCACAAGCCTTTAATCCCAGCACTCAGGAGGCAGAGGCAGGCAGAACTCTGAGTTCGAGGTTACCCTGGTCTACAGAGTAAGTTCCAGGACAACTAGCCTGGAGGATAGGGGTGGGGGATGTGGAGAGAAAAGTGTTTAAAGAAAGCATGCTTTAATATTATAAGTTCCCCGTAACAAACACATTTCACAGAAACAGACCGCTTTGTTCTCTTCCCGTGACGGCAAATACGGGGCAGCTAACAACCTTTTCAAGGCAAACAAATCTCTACGGTCCAAATGCAAAATACCAGCACAACTTCTGGTTGTGTCCTATTCTGAAAACACAGAGTTAAAGCCTGCTGAACTATAATAATGAGAATTTTTACTTTGGCGTTAGCATTTCTTATTAGAAAGAAAAATAAAAGCAACTAAAAATAAGAGATTGTGTTCTACATATCCATGCAGAAGACCCATAGATGATGTCCCTGGACTGTTTCTGTCACACCGAAATTTCTCTGTTCAAAAGGTTCCATTAAAGCTGGGCAGTGGTGGCGCATGTCTTTAATCCCAGCACTTGGGAGGCAGAGGCAGGTGGATTGCTGAGTTCGAGGCCAGCCTGGTCTACAGAGTGAGTTCCAGGACAGCCAGGACCAAACAGAGAAACCCTGTCTCGAAAAACCAAAAAAAAAAAAAAAAAAAAAAAAAAAAAAGGTTCCATTAGCAACATGTGTTTGCTCCAGAGAAGCACAGCTGGTCTCTAGAAAACACGTCAGGACTGAGCAGGGGAAGCGCAGAAGAAAGACAATCTGTTGCTATAGCTCAGTTGGTAGAATGCTTGCCTAGCATGCAGGAGGCCCTGGCAATTCTCTGCACCACATAAACAGCACGGAGCACACCTGTAATCCCAGCACTGAGAGGAGGAGACAGGAGTATCAGAAGTTCAAGGTCTTCCTGTACAATATATTAGTGAGTTTGAAGTCAAGTTGGACTAATTGAGACCCTGTGAAAAAAGAGTGGGAGAGAAGGAGTGGAAAGGGGAGAGAGGGGAAGGAAGAGAGAAGGGGAGGGAGGAGAAGGAAAAGAGGGGAGATGGAGGGGTGGGGGCAAAACCACACCCATCTGGGTAAAAGGAACAGGTTCTGCAAACGAGCAAAGACAGGGGGGAACCCAGGTGCCTAGGAACCTAAAGGTGCCCATTGCAGACATCGTAGGAGGATGTGGGGGGGTCACACAAGACCAGATCCTCTACTGGTGCACATGCCATTTTATCACTTGTCTCCAAACGATTTCCTCCTCATCCCCCAAGCTCCCCAAGCTGGCAACTAAAAAAGGCAGCGCCAGTTTTCTAACTGCTGGTTTTCTACTTCAGGAAAGTAGGTCAACTGAGTTCCAAGAACGTAAGTTCTGATTATCGGCGTTTCGAGAAATTTAAATCTTCCCAAGGAAACCAGTGGGACGCTTTAAGCATGTAAAAAAAACAAAAACAAAAACAAAAAAACAAAAAAAACAAGCCCATAAACATTCTAAACAATTTGGTTTTCCTAAAAGTGTCTTCTTGAAAAACCTTAATACCCATTGGCATTAATCATGACCCTGAGACACAGCAGGAGTATCAAACAGATTATAATTTAAATATCAAAGATGTCTATAGTTTCATGCCTAAACTTAAGGCACCTAACAGACAAAAATAAAGAGAAGCATGCAGTAATCTAGTTCTCTCACCCGCACACATGAAGCAGGAAGATGCCCTTTCGACTCCCTCTGCCTCAAACTCACTGTGCAAGTTAAACACATACACAAACTGTCCGACAAGTTAAACTGCCCTAATGGACCAGCACCCGGAAAACCGCAAAAGCCAGAAAAGATAAACAGAAAGCACTTCTCTGTCTGAAACACAAGCATTCGGGGCGATAATGAAAAGAATTTTAGCTGAGAGAAGGAAGTTTAGGTGGCTGAGACCGGGCCAAGGGTAGGAGGCGGATGGCAACGCCTCCTTCCCTGGTAGGAAGGGAAGGAACTGCGGTGTGGAAACGACTGCTTCCCGAACGAGGAGGCCAAGCGACAGCCTCGAGGCATCCACCCCAGCCCACAGGTCCCGGCCCCCGCTCCGGCGTCCGCTCGTCCCCCGCCGCCGTTGGCTCACCAGCTGCAAGCCCTTGAGGATGCGCCGATACCAAGGGAGCCGGCCCAGGAAGAAGTAGGCGGCCAGGCCGCTGCGCGCGCCCCTGCCAGCGCCCGGGGCCGCCTCGGTGGTGGGACTGTACACCGCTCCGTTCTCCATCGCCCGCGAAGACTCGCTCACCCAGCTAAAAGTCTTCGCCGAGCTGTAGGGGGCGTCACTTCCTGGGACTCCGCCCACGCTTCCGGTCAACTCCGCCCTCCTCACACCTCGCCACGCCCCCTCGTTTGCTGCGCCCCAGCCCATAGAATTTCCCTTCCGTCTGCCACGCCCCCTTTGCCACGCCTCCATGCTGCGCTGCTTTGCTTGTTCAACACGCCTCCTCTGCCTTTCCTGCTCTCTGGTTAACTCTTGACAGTTTCGGGCTTTCGGTGGACTTCAGCTTTTTTGGTTTGGGGCTTTTAAAATTACACTTTGATTATTAATCTATTTATCTATATATTTAATCTATCTATTTATCATCCATCCAGCTATCTATTTATCTATCTAGGGAGTAGCGTTGTGCTGAGATCAAAAAACTATTCTCTGAGTCAGTTCTTTCTGAGGATTGAATTCATTTTCAGGTTTAGTGTCTGGCGCCTTTACCTACCGAGCCACTGCTCCGCCCTGACTTGACTTGTGTCTTTTAGTTTCATTTCGGTCTGATTTAAAAATAAAAGAAAGAAAACCAAGGTTTCACATGCCCAGACTAGCCTAGAACTATGTACATAGCCATCACTAGCCTGGAACTAACTAGTGACAATCCTGTCTCATCTCTGAAGTGCTGAGATTGCAAGCATGTGCCCCTCCTCCGCTAACCGCCTCCCCGCCTCGTTGAGCCGCATCCCAAACCTCCTCCCGCAGAGATTTGACTTATTTTTCACGTCCCACTATCTTCCATCTTTCAGATAGTCATCTTTTCATGGAGGGGACATGCATTCGTGTATGAAGTTGCAGGCTCGCACAGATGCAAGTGTGGAGGTCAGAAGTCAACCTTGGGTATGTTCCTCAGTCATCATTACCTTGTTTTGAGGGAAGAGTCTCTCACTGAATCTAGCCTAGCTTACCAGATAGGCGAGGCTAAAAAGCTACGAAGACCCAGAGATCGGTGTCCCACCTTGCCAGCTCTGCGGTTACAAGCACAGACCACTACTTGGGTCTTTCTTTATACGGGTTCCAGGGATCGAACTCGTGGCCGCAAGCACTTTACCAGCTAAGCTGTCTTCCCAGCTCTTATTTTTCAATGTCGTTGGATGTTTCTAGTACAACTGAAAACCAGATCTGGATATTAAGTTTACTGCCCCGTGCCAACCAGAGACACAAAATCCTTTCTGGCGGGACAGTAAGCAGATTAATGAAAATTCCAAAGGACAATTAACAAAAAGATTAATCAGAGTGTCAGATATTGATAAATGACATGAAAATATTGACCATGTCCACCAACTGATGAGTGCACAAAAGAAATGCAGAACATTTAGTGGGATTTTATTCAAGTTTGTTGTTGTTGTTGTTGTTGTTGTTGTTGTTTTTTCGTGAAACCGTGACATCTGCAGGAAAATGAATGTAACAGAGTATTACTGTTAAGGGAAATAAGGCAAATTCAAAAGACGAAGGCCATATGGTCTCTCCTATGCGGATCCTAGATTTTAAAATTATATTAATGGGGCTGGATAGATGGCTCAGTGGTTAAAAGCAATTTCTGCTGTTTAATAAAATCTGAGTTTGGTTCCCAGCACTCACGTAGGGTGTCTTACAACCACCAGTTCCAGGGTATCCAATGTCCTTTTATGGCCTCTCAGATATGCACTCTCTTCGTGTATCTGTCTCTCTCAGTCTCTCTGTCTCTGTCTTGCTGTCTCTCTCTCTCTCATGTATCTGTCTCTCTCAGTCTCTCTGTCTCTGTCTGCCTCTCTCTCTCTCTCTCTCTCTCTCTCTCACACACACACACACACACACACACCCCTGCACAAATATACAAAGGAAAAAATAAAATTGTTAACTTTAAATTTATGTTTGCTTACATGTATAACTGTATGCCCTGCTGCCTACAGAGGGCAGAAGAGGGCACTGGATTCCCTGGAACTGGTGTTATAGGAGGTTGTAAGCTGCCATGTAGGTGTTAGCAATTAAACCTGGGTCCTCTGCAAGAGCATCCAGTACCCTTAACTACTGAGCCATCTCTCCAGTCCCAGGATAAATTTAATCTAAGTTAGTGTGTATGTGTCTGTGTGATCATGAAACTAGAAAGGCACTCATGAGAGGAGACGTTGAGGGAGATGAGACTGGAAGCAATGGAGCACACGAAAGAAGAATTGCAAACAGAGGGAAGAGTGGGAACCAGCAGAAGGGGTGGGGCATAAATGAGGTCCAAGTACCGTGAGACATGTGTGAAATGCCAGGATGGAAACCATGCTTTGTTCGCTGACCTACAATACTAAGACAGAGCTGGAGATGGATGTCAGTTGCTGTGATGGTTCGTATATGCTCCGCCCAAGGGGTGGCACTAGTAGAAGGTGTGGCTCTGTTAGAGTGGGTGTGGCCTTGTGGAAGGAGGTGTGGCCCTGTTGGAGGAGGTGTGGCCTTGTTGGAGGAGGTGTGTCGCTGTGGGTGTGGGCTTTAAGACCCTCATCCTAGCTGCCTGGAAGCCAGAATTTTGCTAGTAGCCTTCAGAAGAAGATGGAGTGCTCTCAGCTCCTTCTCCAGCATCATGTCTGCCTGGATGCTGCCATGCATGTTCCTGCCCTGATGATTATGGACTGAACCTCTGAACCTGTAAATCAACCCCAATTAAATGTTGTCCTTTATAAGAGTTGCCTTGGTCATGGTGTCTGTTCACAGCAGTAAAACCCTATCTAAGACAGTTGCCAAAGTCTTTCCTGGCATACATGTGTACGGAGCCCCAGCCAGGCATAAAACCTGGTGTGACACCTTTAACCTCAGCAGCTTGGAGGTGGAGGCAGGAAGACAAGAGAAGTTCGAGATTAGCTTTGGCTACACAGAAAGTGAGTTTGAAGACAGTCTGGACTACATGAGGTGCTGCCTCCAAAAAAAATTTAAAAATAATTTAGGCCAGCAAGATAGCTCAGCCAGTAAAGGTGTTTGCCTCACAAGCTAGTAGACCTGAGTTGGATCTTTGGGACGCATGGCAGAAGTAGAAAACTGTCTCCTGAAAGTTGTCCTCTGTCCTCCATATGCACAGTCGGCATGCACACACCCACACCCATACATTGATACGAATAAATACATTTTAATTATAAGTTTGCTATTTTAAATTCATGGTGGGTTTACAGGGTCTTTGAACTGACTGTACAGTGGAGAACACACACCTGCAGGTGAAAGGGTCCCTTCGTAAACGGGTGGTGGGGAAAGCTGCCTCTGAACACCATGGTATTTGTGTTGGATGTATGAGGGGGTCCCCAGGTTTAAACATCAGAGTGTGGGGATAAGCCAAAGACAACCAAGATCACAAGAAACAGTGTTGGGAATGGCAAAGGAGTCCGAGGTTTATTCCATAAAATGAGTACAGGAGGAAACCACTCCCCACTCATCCCCCTCTGCCTACCCCTCTCCCCCACCTCCCCCAAAACTCGTCTAAAGGGTGCAGCCATGAAGGCAGAGGAATTTAGCAAAGCTCAAACTACACTCCCAATCGGTATGTTCCATTTCCACCAGCGGAGGGCGACAAAGAGCAAAGGCATGGTCCCCACTAGGCAGAGTGATGTCCCACGGGCATTAGAGAAAGAAAATGCTGAGGGGCCTCGTGTGAGTGCTTAGTGCAAAAGAATTTGACCACTTAGAGTAGAGAAGCTTTTAGTTACATGGGAATGGAAGACAGTGGGGTCCAGACTGTGGGGTTTGGATTAGAGGGAGCTTGGGAACTATTTTATAACCATTAAGAGAAATCTATGCTTGGGCGGTGTTTTGTTTGTTTTCTTTCCTTTCTTTACCTACCGATTGCATTTTAGTTCTTAGGGGCTGGAGGGAGGGTTCAATGGTTATGAGCACTGACTCTTCTTCCCAGGTTCTGATCTCAGCCCCCACATGGTGGTTCACAACCATTTGTAATTCCAGTTCCAGGGGGTCTAATGCCCTCCTCTGGCCCCTGAGGACACTAGGCACACAAGTGGTGCACAGATGTATCTGTGGGCTAAACACCCATACACATTAAAATAAGTAATGTACTTGTATAAACCTGACCAGGTGAGTTCTGATGCCCAGCCCTACATAAAAGCCAGAAAGATGAAGTGGCATGTATATCTGAATTCCCAACCTGCTGCTATGGAAAGACAGGGGGTAGAGACAGGCAAGCCATAAACTCGTGGGACAGCTAAGGCAGAGGACAGGACAACCCTATCTCAATCACTGTGGCAGGCGAAGACCAATGCCTGGACTTACAGCAACTCTGACCTATGTGAATGCTATAGTACACGAATAACTACCCATACAGGGACGTTTACACACATCATACATACATATCCCACTGCAAAACACTCATATAACCAAGCAGAAGCCAGACCAGATGTGGCACACACCTATAATCCCAGCATTCGGGAGGCAAAGGCAGGAGACTCTCAAAGTCACCCTCAGCTCCACCGTGAACAACTGAAGCCACCCTGTTTCAGAACAGAAAAAACAAAGCAGCGCTGGGCAGGTGGTAGTGCACACCCTTAATTTAATCATAGCAGTCAGAATGCAGAGATGAGCAGATTTCTGTGACTATGAGGCCAGCCTGGTTTACACAGAGAGACCCTGTCCCACACACACTCCTGTGGTGGTTTGAATAGGCTTGGCAGGGAGAGCAGCACTATTAGGAGGTGTAGCTTTGTTGAAATAGGTGTGGCCTTGTTGGAGGAAGTTTGTCACTGTGGGCGTGGGCTTTGAGACCCTCCTCCTAGTGGCCTGAGAGATGCAGTCTTCTGGATGCTGACAGATCAAGATGTAGAACTCTCAACTCTTCCTGCATCCTGCCACACTGTCATGACTCTAACCATGATGATAACGGGCTGAACCTCTGAACCAGTAAGCCAGCCCCAATTAAATGTTGTCTTTTAAAAGCATGGCCTTGGTCATGGTGTCTCTTTACAGTAATGGAAACCCTAAGATACCCTCAACTCCAAAAAGGGCGGGGGGGGGGGGGGAGCTGCACCA